ATGATACAATGAACAAAATGATAGCAAATTTAAACTTTTTATTTTGTTTTCTAGATCCTTAAATAATCCATAAGCGTCAAAAGGTAAATTGTCTCGTTTTTTCGGTTGCTTTATCCTTGGCATGTTTCCATTGAAGAAGATTGGGCAAATGTGCATTGAAAAATTAAATTAACTTTTACTTTTAAATCGCTCTTTCTGCCATTTACTAAAATATTAAATTAGTATTTATATCAGTTTATTCTCAGAACCTTTTTTAAGTTCATTTCTTAAAAATTAAGCGGAATAAAGGCATTCTAAATAGAAAAAAATACTCACAAAACAACGGTAAGAAAGGCCGTCAAAGAGTCCATCGAAACCATTATGCAAGGTAGGTTGGATGGTAAAGAAGCATCGAAATGTCGGAGGTAAGCAGAAATCGGGGCTCAGAAATATAAGAGGCTGGACGAGTATGAGCGCGCCTGAGTTGTTCCACGTAGAAGAGGTGAACTCATGAGAAAAAGAAGAACTTTGTGTAAGTATTCATTACTTCGGATCCGGATAAGAAAGGAGTAGGTAGTAAGTCGAGATCGAGTAACGATTAGTTGCTTTTTTCCTACCTCTAATACTGCGATTCAGCATTCGTGATACCATAATATACCTTCATTTACATTAAAGCGTTTACCATTTTTATTGAAATTTTATTGTTACCAGCTTATCGCAACTAACCCTGTGTATAATGCTTATAAGTAGGTATATATTTCATCGAGTTGATCGATTATTTTGTACCTACTTGAGCAAAAACTTAGCAATGTCAGACCAATACCTATTGTAATGATAGTATATCGGAAAATGCATCATCACATAATGCAATAACAAGTATATACTTGCACCATTAACAACATGCCTATGCACTAAAATGCTAATCGTGACTGAGTACATCGATGCAATCACTATTGATTGCACTCTTATTAATTGAAGCAGTTCACGGTGTATAAAGGGTGAACACATGTCCGCCCTACATGTCGTATTTGTTGAGAAATTATCAGAGAGAATCTGCGCATATATCACATCAAAATGCAAATGACCATCCAACAGCAAAATTCGATTCCATGAGCATGATTGATATTGCTGACCGAAAACTGTATTGAAACTACCCCGGCTGTTTTTACTATTAATTGTGCATAATTTTTCAATAATATTTATCTACATCTTTTACTCATTTTATTTCAATATTTCTACATATAAACTAAGCATATTAGTTGTTGATTCAAGTGTTATTGCTGTTCATTCATAGGCGCAGTTTCAACCCCGAGAATTAAAAACAAGCAAAAACGTTCACACAAACTTGGGAGACGCTTATTTTTCGAGATATCATCATCTTATCAGTATTTCCTTAATATATGCATTTTTAATTTAAAACATTTCTGTACTTTCTAGAAGCTGTAGTTCTTTATTTATTTTATGGCATATATATTATTTCATATGTATTATAATATTAAGATGTATAAAAATAGATGTATCAAAGCACATCTACTATTTTTTACAAAAACGCCTTTTTAACAACTCTCACACCGGTTGGTGAATAAAACGTTGGATTAAACTTTATTTGATTTTCTGGAAACAATGTATCTGCAACTGTGACTCAAGTGTACCACCTACATTTTTTTTCTCGGATTTAAAACGTTTGGAAAATTAATAACTATTATTAAGTACCTTACTTGACGGTCACATTTGCCATGCTTTATCAGGTATGCTTGAATATATCAATTTTAGTGTGGAGAAGGAAGGTTTATTCATTTTAATATCGATTCAATTCATGTGCTTGATATGCAAAATATGTTATAAATATTTCTTATTTCCCGTGATTTTTGCATTCAACCAATTTATTTGAGAGTTGAGATGCTTCCCTTTGGTTGGGACTATTATTACTCGATTTTCGGGGGAAAGTAATTTTGCAATTTTCTTGCAAATATTATTAATGCAAATTTTCGAAACTTATTGTATCTACTTCCATCGACTGATGATCTAACGGTTAAAAAGACGCAAGTTTTCCATGAGCAATCAAAAATGTTATTGGCTGTTAATCTTTATCTTCTCAAAGTATTATGTAATTTAAATACCTAATAAAAAAAATTTAAGTTTATGTTTAAAGCATGTAAACTTGTTTCTGATGCAGAAAACTTAAATATATTTTTTTATTCAAGACAATTTGGAAACAACTCTAAAAAGAATTAGTTGTGGCGCCAGTTGAACGCTGCCTTGGCATCGATTGCAACCCTGTGAGCCGCCACTCTATGTCTATGATACAGTGACCCGCCTTATTGAGTATCGAGCACTGACTTGGCTCGATCTCCATACATGATTGATTTTAGAATTCAGCTATTATATTCGGGGAGCTTAAAAAAAATTGGATTTACTAGCTTAGCGTTTCTAAGTGCTTTTAGTGCAGCAATATCGCTCCAAATCGTCTTCCGATAAAATGAGACTCTTTATCTCGATTCTCCGACTTACTCGAAATCTGAAATCGTTTGGAATGTGCAAACTACACATTCCCTTAGCTGAATATGTTATGCTTTGGTGATAAAGCGTGATTGTCTATGGCAATACTTTTTATATAGATTGCAATGATTCTCCACTGTACTTTATTTGACCCACTGCACGAATAAGCGTTATTCCTTAGAATTAATGCGTATAATTTTCTCACTAAAACACTCATAATAAGTTTACTGTTGAGCAGTCGTTGCTAAATATAATAATGTCGCCCTTATCGTAATGTATTTATTGCGTTAGAAATACGGCCAGGTTGACCAATGGGTACCTATAAGAGGTCATTAGAATTCATTTTTTTTGGAAATATCGTTTATTTTGATAAAATAGTCATTTCTCTATCGGTATTTACTCGAAAAACAAGATACAAGTGTTTCATTATGCCAAATAATTTAATTAAGCAGTTGGAGATTCGAAAACTCATTCTACACGGTCGCTTTAAAGCTTGTAATCCCTGCAGCTCATCACTAAAATATAATTATTTTCAGACCTCTAGATTTGAGATTATCCTATTAAAATCTAGATCTTTTTACCGAAACTCATTTTGATGCAATTAACGCATTAATTCTATAAGCAGTCTCTCAACCATGTACCAAAAAAATATATTTAATAAGTTTTGTGCATTCGAAATGTTTGGGGTAAAAAAAAACAATTACAGCAATATTAGAGCCTTATAATAAGAAGTGAAGAAAGAATTAAGTTCTTAATTTTGTAAAATTTGGGGAAAAAGTGTAATTTCGAGTTTTGTAAAAGCAGATTTTTAATACAATTTCGGGAATATTTAATATTAAACGTTGCCTTGATTGGTTTGAATAACTGGGCTTATCACTAGAGGCACATTTAATTTCTTCTATGCTCGTCTAAGTTATTCCCAAGGAATTATAAAAATAATTAAACCATAATTACAAAGCCGGTAAGACACAGTTTTGTGCGAGCTGAATATTGTTAGAAAGCTTATTACGTTTATAAAAAGATAATAGTTGCCACTTACCACGAAGCTCCACTTTAGAGTATCTGTGTGCATATAATGTTGATAACAAATCACACATACTGAGTGGCTCATTGAAAATCAAACAAAGACCTTTTTGCGTATTATACTCCGACAATTTAACTTTATTTTGGATTTATTATAAATATATATATATTTTTCAAAAGATTTTCTGTATATTTTCTAGAAGCGCAATTGGTCTCAATTTAACGAACAATAGTTCTTCATGTAATTTAAATCATCAAGGTATAGCAGATAAATGTCTCTCCTTATTTGCATAAACAATGCGAACGGGGTGATATATTTAACAAAGTGCAACACTTAAAAGAAGATCAACTAAACTATAAAAAAAATATACGAAATAAACAAAAACAAAGTAAGCGAAAGTTATCAGTCGTTATTTAAGACGTAAAATCTAAGCGATTTGGACTGATCGATCATGCATCGCAAAAGGAATTTAAAATGAAGTAAATATTTGGTTAAGGCTTCACGGGATACAACCACCTCAAGCATTAAATTATGCAAATGGAAATGTTGGTCAGGGTAATGCTGAATCGAAATATTTGCTTGTTTACTTTGAAAATCGACCCTCCGAATAAGATTTTCTGATGCACCGTCTAAACTACCGGAAGTAAATCGAGTCAGTCGGTCACTAACAATAAAATCATATAAATTTGATTTAGAAAAAAAGGAAAGTTAATCGATTGAAGCACACTTAAAATAAAGCTTTGCATATGCAAGGTGACAATTATAAGACGTTCTTTGACATTATCTAAATAACAAAAATATTTTTAAGTTTTAAATTTAACATTTAAGCACCAGTTTTCACCACTTTCACCAAACATATACGCTCAGCCACCCCAAATATAAAATATTAAAAGGTCATCCATTACTTGTGATAGCTCTTTAAAATGCTTTACGAACGCATTTCCAGACGTTACATTTAATAAAGCAAGCATTTCTATGATTTTTTGCAAATGTACTGAAAATATTTAAGCGGGCAGCGTTATTTGAGAGGCAATGAATAAGATAATTCGGGAAATTTTCACGTTGCCTTACAGGGTGTTAATTACGATTAATTTCACATGCTTACTCTTGTGTAAAGTGCACCATAATAAAAATTAATAAAAAGACAAAGATTGAATTATTTATATCCCCAGTTCGAAACACCACCGCTTACCTAGATTACTCCGACTCTCCAAAATACAAACAACTAACGAAGAACTATTTATTAACCGAAACAATAGGTTCTTATGCTAGTTGATAAATTTTAACTTTTCTATATTCCCTCCGCAGCAATCTCCTTGGAATTGTTAACGTGATTTATTCTAATCGAGGATAATACGGACAATAAAGTAAGATATAGGCGTCTATTGTTCAGAAATCCCGTTTATTTTCCCTCGGAAAACTTTGCAATTTTCGAGAAACTTGAATATCTCGAATCAATTTTTGTTCGTTATTAATACTGGGCATCAGAAATTAAAACTGGATTTATAAACATCTTTATTAACGTCCTTACATTCTAGAAGCAATACATTTCTTAATACCAATATGACTTTGGTGGGACTCTATCTTCTTTGATGCCCATGTTTTCCATAATATCCATTTCAAATGTACGGAGTTTAGGCTGAAACGTTATATCTTTTATAACATCAGCGGTCGTATCTTTAGGCTGCTCTTTGTATGTGGACTTGGTTTTGTAATCAATTGTTTCTTCCGCAGTTGCTGGGACAGGAATTATTCTGCCAGTTCTGGTAGAAACTCTTACTTCCTGTCCATCTTCAGTAAATCTAGATATTTTGATAAATATGCGTTATTAATACAGGTTGCACCTATATGTATTAAAATATAGCTTGATATTACTCCTTTTTTATTCAAATAGAATTATAAAACACACAAAGCACGAATCATGGTCTTGAAAAAGGATAAATCGCTTTGTAAATATTTCCATAGCTTACCGCCATTCGTAGGGTGTGGCCTTAAGATCTGAAGGATCGACTAACGCTACATCAGTGGTAACTAAAAGAGGTTGTTCTTCTTGGATATAAACTCCCTCAAAATTTCGTTTCTCATCTTTTCCAATATTCTTCAATTTGCAGTTCAAACCTTCCACTAATACCCAATTTCGTTCCTCAAATATACTTTTTACAATACCTTGTTTCCCTTTGTCTTTACCTAAGTACAAAAAAACCAAACCTGTCATATCGCAACATTCTCGTTAATACCAATAGAACTAAAAATAGTTGTCATATAGTTTTAAAGCAAAACATGCCTAAACATTAAAGAAAAGCGTGCTCCAGGCCGAAAGCCGCTCCAATCTTAAAAACCGGAAGTAATATGAAAAGTTTCACCTTGGCAAATTTTTCGATGGCAAAGTCTTTCATGAATATCAAACATGCAATAAATAGCAGCAAAATTTCCAAATCACCTACGTATTTTTTTCAAGAAAGAATGAGGTTTACATATTTGCAAAATGTCGGCGTCTAAGACAAAATCTAAGAGAAACTTAAAGTCAAATAACCGATGGTTTATAATTATGTCAAAAATTCCGAATCCAGATCTCCAGAGACAAAATCGATTATTGCGTAAAAGTATAAATACTTAGCAAAATTCGACCCAATATTTTTCATTGGAAACAATGCGCGTTATAGGTAAAATTGCTTATATTATTTTATTGCGCCGATGGGCTAAGTCAGCGTGAACTTGCCGAACACTAAGTACATACCGTTAGAAAATTATCTCTTAGAAAAAAACGATTTTCAAAACACCAATTTTAAAAATATTAGAATTATATCAATATTCAAATGCAACTTCAAAGAACAAGTCTAATTTGCAAAAATAAATTACAAGAATGTTTCAGAAATACCCACCTCTACAATGTCTAGTTTAACCACAGTAATTTTCAAGCTTTTATTTTATTCTGATAAGTTATCAGAAAAAATTGTGGAGCTTGGTAATATAAGTATTTCGGTCTTATAATGCATGTACCGTATGTACAGAATTTACCGATAGAGTCGCATAATTAGCAATCTTTGCGTTGTGAATTAGCAAATTCCAACAAGTAAAGCGAGGAAAACTGATCATTTAACTATGTGAGTGACTGGTTGAACCCAATTTTAGTCCATTTTAGTCTGCTTAAATCCATTTTGAATTTTTGGTTACTTTTAATCTCTCTTTTGTGAAAAGATTTAGTGTCTCGTCTCTCGTCGTATTTTACCAAATTGATTTTCAATGTGATTTTTTGACAATTTTTACTTATTTTGACTTCCTTCTCTTGGATATGATTTGTTTAGTGCTCTTGAGGGTCGTGCTTGTGTTAAGTTATTGCCTGGTTTTTCATTCAAGGGCATACTTTTGGCTCCTTGAATTATCGACACACATAATACAAAAGAGTTTCATTCAAGAAATAAATTTCAATCAAGTGATACCATAAAACAACATCGTATTGAAGCCATTTTGTTCATCCAAAGTACTCGATAGTCCAAAGATATTACACTTGCACTGTTATTACGAATTAATAGAAAAGCGTAAAAGAAAAAGTACATTTTCGATAAATCGAAAGTAGGCGCCGGAATTCTTTTAAAAAACACTAGAAGAGTTAATAACGAGATACATAAAAAATACCAAGGGCGAATCTGTCTCTTGGCTGCAAATACAAAGGATGATATTCTTGAGAAATGAAGCTTATAAGATGTTCTATAAAACATTTTTAGAAGATTCTAAGTTTCACGTTTTGGATCCTTCCTCAAAGAGGAAGACCAAAAATATACGGAAATGTAAAGCTACTTCCATCATACACCACCAGTAGGATTATTAACGGAAGAAAAACAAAGAAATCATGTGTTTACTACCATACATTCCTCCAGTTTTGCAGGAACATTTCAAGAATCTTAAAATCTCGAAATGATGAAACAACGGATTACTTTTTTTAATAATTAACTACTAAATGTTCAAGAATTATTTCATTAAAGTTATGGTTTCAAATAAAACTCATAGTTATTGCTTTATATATAATATTCATTTATAAGACATTCAGATAATTTTCAAAATGATTTAAGTCAATTCGAGCTTTAAAAACAACATATTCGTATAAAATTCACAGAAAATTTCATATTGAAAATTAATTTCGAATAATCAAGACTAATAAAATTCTAAATAAAAAGGTCCCGTAATGTAAAAATATGTTTTAATTTATTTAAATGTAATTCATTAAATATCTCCAAACAAGAAATAGGTCTATGATTTTGACCACTTCCATAATTATGGGCACATATGTAAATCTAATATTGATCTTCAAATGTAAATGAAAGAAGAGGGGATGGCAGAAACCCAACCATTTAAAACAGTCAATATTTCATAAAAAGTTTATTTAATAATCACATGTTTCCTTCTCCAGCAGGAAAATCGTTTTTGTTTCCTTATTGTGTTAAATTTACAATCCAAAAGTGCGAAATAAAACTAATCCTGACTGACTGACGGACTGCATTTTATTCACCATTATATCAGCAATACGCCCTTTAAAAGATTCCGTATATTTTTTCATGGAAAACGAAAATAGATATAGATAAAAATATATGAATAATCGGGATTTAGTTTCAATTTATTGTACTTTCATCAATGGTTTGCTAATGTGCAGCATTAATTTTCAAAATCTACTTCCATTGTGACCGGAACTATTGTCCATTTATTTTGGAATATAAATTTGAGATAAAAGACGACGTTATGATAAAACACCGCAAGCAGTGAGGATTATAAGAGGCTAAAAAAATATCTTGAAGGGGAACCCCTCTTAAGCTGGTTCTATAGAATTTTTTCCAAACCGATAGCGCAAAAGGTGGAAATAAAAGAAAACGTTTTTTAATGTTAATTATATGTAAATTTTAATCAATAGTCACATACAGCAATAAAAATTACAGTAATTCTCTCTCCTAATTCTGGAAATAAAATGATTGCATTTGCAAATGCGTCTTTAAAATTGGCGTTTTACTAAACTCAAGCATTTAAGCTAAATTTATAGGCGAGATATTATGGGTCTTCCGGTTACCTGACAAACAAAAAAAAATTATCATTTCCAATATGTAACAGTTTGATTTACTTAAGCAATCCTACGCTACAGGCATACGCTACAATTGACCCAGGCATATTTAGCAATGAACTAAACCACCTGGATAACATTACCACCATCAAGTACCTATGTATATGATATAAATAATGAATAGTTCACTTACCAATTAAAATCTCGACTCTGTCGCCTCTGAAAAAACTCCACTTTTTAATAGGTTCAACAAAAACCTTAGGAGCCAAAGTACCCGGTTGATTTTCGTTCCTAAATTCCATAGTCCATGGCCTGTGCACGCCAAAGTAGAACTTCTTCCGTTGAATTACCGCATTCGGTTTATATTGGACCCCCTTTGGATTTCTCCAATACACTTGATTCATTGCTCTATTAATATACCGGTCTGGTAAATTAGCGTATTGTTTCGACCATTTTCCGATTCTGGCTAATTGGGCTAATGAAACTCTCATGATTTACAGCAATAAAAAAATGTGCTTTGGACCTGTTCCTCAAGGGTAGATACTGTGGGTAGATAATTGTTATAAAATATAGGTTAGGTTGAGTCTAGGCTAGATTGAGGCTATGTTTACTAGACCTGCTTTGCCGGTTGCGGTTTATTTTTAAACATCCGACGCGTGATTTTTAACTGTTGTGTAACTGTGATTTTTAGAATAGGGAAAGTTACAATGAAGTAGATAAGAATAAACGGTAAATTCAACAGAATTCGTTGAATGCAAGGATTTACTTTTTCAAAATGTCAAATTGTCATCATGACATCAAATTGATGTGTATACAAATGCAACGTTTGTCAGGGAGGGCAACTTTTACTAGGGACGGCAACTTTTGCAATAAGCAAATTGAACTTTTGCCAGGGCGACCATACACAAATGCAACTTTTACCATACACAAATGCAACTTTTACCATGCACAAATGCAACTGTTACCGTACACAAATGCAACTTTTGCTAGAGGCGGCAACTTTTTCCAGAAACAAATGCAACTTTTGTCAGGGCGGCCATACACAAATGCAACTTTTGCCAGGGTCTGCAACTTTTGCCATTTGTGTATACACAAATGCAGCTTTTACTAGGGATGGCAACTTTTATCATAAACAAATCAACTTTTACCGGGGACTACAACTTTTGCCAGGGAAGGCAACTTTGGTCATACACAAATGTAACTTTTACTAAGGAGAGCAACTTTTGCCATAAACAAATGCAACTTTTTGCGGGACTGCAACTTTTGCCAGGGACTGCAACTTTTGCCAGGGAAGGCAACTTTTGCCAAGGAGGGCAACTTTTGCCATACACAAATGCTAATGCCACCTGCTAATACCTGATAATGACAAAAAACATCATTGCTGGTTTGACTTTCATTAAAAAATTGTAGAAGAGAACTTTTTTAATATCAAGAATTTTCGAAATTTGAAGCAAATATCACAATTTTTCTTTTCGAATTCTGAATGAGGAATACCAATAGGCTGCCAATTATATATGGGACCATTTGAAAATAATGCTTATATAGCAAAGTTGACATTCGATTTTCAACTGTGAATCTTCTAGAAACCTTCGAAAAACACGCTATCTCCGAGTGAGCCCCTATTACCCCTTAAAATCAATGGCACTAATTTTGAATCACCCTGTATATTATATACTTAAGCATTTCGTTTCTCCGACTTCGTCGTTTGGTGCTTGATATGTTTCTACTATCATGATTAAAAAACGCAAAAAATTCTGTTTCAATAATCTTCCATGTAGGTTTTTAAATGTATCTGAAATAGGAAAATAACTCTTCCAAAATAAGCTTGTGAAAGCTTAAAGTTCTAGCTTTTCTTCAAGCCTTTTCATTCGCCTTTCTGATGGCAAAATTTATATTCGCCCTTTCGTCGAAGGGATAATGAACGATTTTGCAATTTACAAATTAAGAACTTTTTAATTACTTTATCTACAGCTAGTCACTATTAGACTAAATATGAATGTGTCTAATGGAATTATAGAAACTGCAACGGAAACTGCAACGGAAATGAATAAACTATTTTATCAATTCTAATAAATACAAATTCAATTTGTATTTGACGTAATAAATATATTCCATATTTAATGGCATTCTAAGGAGGGACGAGATTGGCACTCAATCTTAGTTTCATGCTTGTCCAAAAATCATTAACTTCCAGTTGAAAAAACTTTTCTTTAATACAATGGTTGCATTGTGTTTATTTTTAAAATGGTAAATTTAAAAGTATTTCTTCGCATCTCTTTTTGTAGTTTGGACATGTTGATTTTCCTCTTTATAATTTATTGGAATTCAAATAGGTTAACGCACTAAGTACGAGTATGTACGTACGAATCGTATGCTCAACACACTTTTCAACTGCCTACATTACTAGCGATGAAGTGAAAAACACCATTGAAATTCAAAATTTCGTAATGATATTTGCTGTTCAGACTATCTCCTGAACATATTCAAACAGGTTTTATAAAATATACGAGCTTTGTTGATAAAGTACGAAGTTCTTTTTTGTATATTTATTATAAAGTTTGCATCATTTTGTTACGTAACGCAGTGAATAAACGTCTACAATAAAAATATATTAACTATTACATAATTACATTAACAATTAAATATTGAACATATCACTTTTCCAGTATTTTCTTTCAGAAAGATTTTTTAAATTTTACAACATTCAATTTGTTACACTTTATGTTGATGGTTGATATTTTATGATGTTGAGCAGTAATCTTCCGCGAATCGAAACAATTGAGTTTTTGCCTGTGCACCATCAGCATTGAGGGAAATTGTTACGGGTCCAAATAAAAATGGCTGCTTTTGAGGCAAAATTTATATATACTATATAGCTATATAATATACTTTATATAAGCGTAAATTAAGTGGTTGGAACCACCCGCATTTTACAGAGCAAAAAATGAGCATATTGACGCGATACACAGATAAACTAGAAAATTACCACTTTTTCTACTCTTATTTAATTTGATGTTTTAGGGCTGTACATCTTTTGATAATATTCAAAATAATGTCTGGATATTGAAATAATTTATCATCTATTTCCGCCTGGTCGATGATTATTGTTTTCCATTTTCTATTACACTTCTACCGATTATGTTTCGCAAATGTAGCATAATTTCAATTTCTTTCATTGCACTGCTAATGTGACACCTAAAGACAATAGCATATTTAATCAGAGGTAATTATTAATCCAGACTATATCGCAGAAATCCTGCAATATTTCTTAGATAACCTATTATACAATGTATTCATTGTATCATGAGTTAACCAATCTATGCGAGTTAACCGATGGATTCCCCGAAGTCAGATGAAAATTATCTTGAGTCGAGTTTGCGTTGGAGATCACTTTCTTAAGTGTTGGCTGCGGAATACTAGTTAGCCATTTACGAACTTGACTTCACCTTGCCAAGAACTCTAAAATAAGTTAAGATTATTGTTGGTATTTTGGTATTGAGAGTTATTGGTAATAACATCGATAATAATACTAGACACCTACCTACAGAATCTATATCACTGATTCATCATGCTAATCAAGTTATTAATAACTTTACTTCTCTGTAATATTATTGCTTATTCAAGTGCCCTAGTAAGTGAAAATGGTAATCCGGATCCCGAACCTGGAATTATTAGGTAAGTCCATGCTTAAGTGGGTAATTTTAAGTAAGACTGGCGTACTTACCTAAGAGAGGTATACCGGGTTTTTTTAAATAAACGTCCGATATTTACAGCCAGCTTTCTCGTGTATTTTTAAGTCAAAAAGTCCATTTTGGCATGTACTCGTAAGGCCTTACTTATCGAGTAACAGAGCCTTAAAAAAAATTACTTTTAAGCAATTTTTGATATAAAATCGATATGTGGTCAAAACCTATTATTTTCCCATTGTTCGTAGCGACTTTTCCATTATACTTTTGTTCATAATACTATTTATACCAGGTGCCGAGTAGTAGCAGACACATGGACACTCACATACATATAATAGTCAACTGGAACCTTTCAGGGCAAATTTTAATTTAAAAAAAATTGTATAGGAAATTCTCGAAGAGGTAGCGATACTGGCTGATAAGAATAGATATTATTATTTGATCTGTGTCAAAGGTCGTGAAGAGGATTTGCTCTTGATATAGAAAATTCAGGATTAATTCTTTTATTAAGTTGAATTTATTCATCAAGCAATGGTCTGATATCCAAGCTGTTTTGGTCTGCAAACTCTGGTTTGGTACCGCTTGACCATGTAATTCATCATCGCCGTATTGGCGTATTCCTATGTAAAATAATATTTCCTGCCAATTTTCGGCAGCCAATGTCGAAGCATAAGTTGTGTAAGGGCTGATTGTTTCATTATAGTTTCGCCTATTTCAGTGTTCATTAGTTTTAACACTTTCAGAATGACACTAACTAGACAGAAGACTGCCTTTGAACAGCACTTGAATAATGCTCCGTTCCTTAAGAAGTATGGTATCAATTCTGATTGGCTCTATAAGAAACACCACAAGCCCAGTCCTAGAACCAATGACTCGATTGCTATGTTTCGATATTTAGATGTAAGTATGTTTTTTTGTTCCTCAATTTTCTATAATGTATTTTAATTTTTCCTTCTTGGTACTAGCGTCCATACTTGTTTGCAATATTATTTTAGTCAGTAATTAAAGAAACTCGGTAGTTGGAAAAAATATACATATACAGATGGAACGCTTTATTAAAACTTGGACTTGGCAAAAGTAATTTTCTTATCAAATGATCAAAATCTTTTACTTTTCCACACAATGGCGGATCATGGGGAGTCATGGGGAGTCATGGGGGTTACGGCCCCTCCCCTTTGTGCTAGGTTTGTGTCGATTAGCGACTTAATGTCTCTAATTTCATACACAACAAAAAGCTGAATATCTACTACTAGAAAGCTGGAGCCGCCGCTGCTCAATGTATGATATTAAAATCTTGCTTTCTGGGTCATAACTATGCATGTTAGGTATGACTGAATCGAATTTATAATGGTCTATCCAACGATGTCAAAACCAATTCTTTAACTCAAATGGTTCTTGAGAAACTTCGAACAAAGCAGCGTCATGTTTCAGTCGAACACACAAATGTAAAACTTCTTGAAATCAAGATTTTTTGAGAAAACTGCCAAGATTTCCTGATCGATGGTTCACTTTCTAAAAAGGCCATTTAGTTCTCTTTGGAATGATGTAAAATTGAGCGTTCTTGCAGATTTTGCTTCCGAAGAAATTAGCAAAAACGGGACGAAAACATAACATTTTTGACGTAATCTTGCACCTAAGTGTCTGATATTCACATTTTCGCTTTCTGGGTCCAAACCACTCGAATTGCCTCACTAATGTCGTTATGACTGAATCGACTTTTCAATTCGCTATCCAAAGATCCCAAAACGAATTATGTGGCTCAAATGGTTCTTCAGAAACTTCGAAAAAAGCAGCGTCATGTTTGAGTCAATTTTGCAAGTCCAAAAAAAACAAGCAAATCTAAGCCTTCTAGAAATCAAGATATTTTTGAGAAAACTGCCAACATTTCCGTATCGATGATTCAGTTTCTAAAAACGCCATTTAGTTCTCTCTCGAATCATGTAAAACTGAGCGTTCTTGCTCATTTTGCTTCCGAGAAAGGAGAAAAAACGGGACGGAATGCATGAAATTTTGGCATAATCTTGCACCTAAATGTCTGATAATCAAATTTCGCTTTCTGGTCCAAAACTGCTCGAATTTCTTCACTCAAGTTGTTATGACTGAATTGAATTTTGATTTCTGTATCCCACGATGCCAAAACGAATTTTGCTCAAATGGTTCTTAGGAAACTACAAAAAAAGCACCGTCATGTTTGAGTCGATTTGGCAAGTCAAAAAAAAAACACGCAATTGTAAAACTTCTTGAAATCAAGACTTTTTTGAGAAAGCTGCTAAGATTTCCTTATCGATGGATCACTTTCTAAAAAGGCCATTTTGTTCTCTCGGGAATGATGTATAAATGAGAGTTCTTGCTCATTTTGCTTCCGAGATATGAGCGAAAACAGGACCGAAAACATACAATTTTGATTGAATCTTACACATAAATATTTGACATTCAAACATCATATAAATCAGATTTTTTAAGTTTGAAACTAATATAATTTGAACATAGATTTGATTCAAGAAAACATTGATTTTAAACAAATTGGAAGTACATATGTACACACTCGAAGAAATTTTGTTTTGCACTGATTTTTTTGCCTAGAAATGGTTGCTATTTTTATTATAATATTATTCTACAGCTTGACAACAATTCCGCCATCGTATAAAGTTTTTACTCGCATTTCAACTACGACTATAAATAAATGCATGAATCAGACTATTTATTAACTTATATGTTTGATAAGGTCGGATCATGTATATTATATGTCCAGTCTCGGTATGTTTATTTTTTTATATCTCATGGGAAGATAAAAGTTGTTTGTTGGATTCATATCGCCCCTCGCGCCAAGCCAATTGCAAATGATAAAACTGCTTATGTATATTTGTGGCCCACAAGATTAATTTCCTTGACATAATATTTATAATAATTGCTCTCTATTAGTCAGAAATTAGATTCTTTCACTTACTCATAATTAATGGTGAAACTTTATAATTATGTTAATTATATAAATCAAATTAACGGTAATACATTTATTTATAAATGTTTTCGATTTAACTCTTAATGTGATACGTGCAATTATCAATTGAAAATGTATTTATGCTTATGATGCATGCTAGTTATGCTACTACCTAAAATTATATTCTTTAAAAAGGTTTAAAAATGGTTCTTGGCTGATCTGAAAATATATGAAAAACTTAATATGATTAATCATCAAATAAGAACAAATCGTTGAACTTAAATATATAATTTTATACTGCTGTTATGGTAACACCATAACGCATTCCTACCCTCTTTGAGGAGGTCCCCTGTCTTGACCACTAATTGCATGTCGTATATCCAAATAATTATAGATTAAAAGTGATTAATATTCCTATATTTAAAAAGGTATTAAATAAAAAGTACTAAAATACAAACAATATATCGTGCTAATTTGTGCAAAAAACATTATTCCAAATTCTGATAAGGTACATGAAATGAAAAACGGCTTGAGAAAATCAGTGACATCTATATATAAGCCTGTATTTCTGTTAAGCTAAACCAATATTTGCTGGTTAGAGCTGATGACATTTCTGTTTACTTTCCCATTTATATTTGCTCAATAAATTTTGAACTTAAGGGTTACCTTATCTTATTAGAAATTGATGAAAATTGAATTCATATTTTGAAAAATCAGCCTATGAACGATTTCAAGTTGTCTGAGGAAATTGTGTGTAACAAACCATACATTGCTAATTTAATAATTACGAAAAATTGCTAACTGTTATTTCTTTAATTGGCGATTAGTTCATTTAATTTTTTTGCACTATTTAGGTTAAAAACATACGTTTAACGTGTTAGGAAGAATACGTTAACTACACGTTAAAGGTAAATACAGAAAATATCATTTTTGTGTATTTATTTAACACAAATCGACGCCTTCCAATTTGTATTGATTTTTTGCAAAATCTTCTGCAATTTGAACAATTCATCGGCACATCTATTTGATTTTCAGAATGAATTCTATGGTACAGTCGTGCTTGGTCGCACTGGAAAATCCCTAAATGTTGCTTTTGACACAGCATGGACTATGTCTTGGGTGTTATCCTCACAGTGTAATCATTTCAAAAGCATGGGCTGCAGTAAGTCTATAATATTATTGAAACATATGTTATAGTAAAATATCTTTAACAATAACTTTCGCATCAATGCGATTATCTATTTTTATATTTATCTTAAAGACATTTTTGCCAACAGTTTTCAAATAATTGAATAAAATTTTTATCTATCTTTGATAGATATGCCAATATAGTAGAAAAAATGTAATTATTAAACATAATTTCTTAATTGGTATCAAAATCAAATAAGAGTACAAAATTACGGAGTTTTCTTTCAAATTAAATGCCGATGTTTGACACGATTTTTTTTAAATAAAATGCGATTTAGATTTTAATCAATCATCGGTTATAATTTTGAAAAGTTTAAAACATTTAAACAGAAGTATTCGATTTTACTGAAAAATATAAATACTAAAAAACGACTCGTTGTCTGTTTGTTTTTTAATTATTGTTTATTACAGAAGCAATAAATTATAAATCTGGTTGAACTTGGCTCTTCAATTTAAATGGAGTATACTTTTAGAAATATATTTTTGTGAGGATAATTTTTCAATATTTGGGTTAGCAGCACTTTACTTGACTGTTTGTGAGATGTTGATTATTTTATTGATTTTTGTAATTACGATATTGTTCTCTCAAAAATTCAGTGAGCGTGAACCAATGATCATCAAAACCGAGTATTAAAATATAAATGTTATTGCAGTGTTTCACAATACCTATGACCACGATAAATCGAAAGATTATAAGGCCGATGGTCGGAAAATAGTAGTACCCGAAGGAACTTATAATTTGAGCGGCTTTTTTTCCTATGACAGTGTTGCTGTAAGTATAACTACTGTTATGTAGTGATTATTGAATAAGAACTATTCATCGTGATTTTTATATAGGTATCAAATCTGTTCTGATTTGATCAAATTTTCAGGTAGCCCATTCTAATATCTCAAATTTTTCCTTCGTCGAAATGACAAATGTACCAAACTCGTACTTATTCAATAAAATCGATGGAATTATTGGATTCGGATTACAACACGATGCTTATCAGCCCTTTTTCTACGCTTTAGTAGATCAAAAGAAAATAGCGCAACCAATATTCTGTATTTATTTAAACAGGTAAGTCTTCAGTAAAAAAAAATAGAGCGCYTGTTTTACGACTCCACTGAACCGCAGAAGCCATAAGAGACGTGAGGTCGCCTAAATAAGTGAGGGCRAAGTTGCKCATTTTGGCGTTTTACCAAATGCGGTTTATTAACTTACAAAATTCGAAAATGCACGTTTTATKTTATTTTATCTGAGGCTATTTAAAGATATAGSTAATCGTCAACATTCTCAGGTCRCCTGTTTCTCTTCTACAAAATGGCAATATTATATTTCTATCCGAGTTATCGAWTTTTGCCACCCCSAAYACGAATTTTTCTATAATCCCTAAATATTTATGTTTTTTTCTTCGTTCCATTCGAGAGTRAAACATTTGATGATTGATTTTTCGGTGCTCCAAAGATAATGATTGGCTCTTAATTCTAATCAACTTGTATTGCTATTAAAATATATCCGTTAAATAAAATTACAATTGRAAAGTTTTCAATTGAAAATTRATCAATATTGATTTATAGATRTCAATTTCATATGTGCAAGTAATTTAACGAAGAAATGRTATTTTKTAAACAATTGTTTYATTGAAAATAGSAAGCTTATAAATTGATCTAAAATATAACTGTATTTTAGAGACAAACAGTCAAGCCATGGTGGAAACATAATAATGGGTTTCATTGAATACAGACATGTTCACAGTACAAAAGACGCAGCCAATAATATCGTATATGATCCTATCACTTTTAAGGACATAAAGCCAGGATATTTATGGGAGTTTGATTTAGATGCGTAAGTGATAAATTTTGCATTTATGATTTGGATACACCGTTTATCTACTTCCTCTTTTCAGGGTTCATTTTGACCGACAAAAGGGAGGTCCGTTGATATTCTGCAAGGGTACTGGTTGTACTGCATTTACTGACACCAGTTCAAACAGCATTCTAGGTCCCAAAGCCGACATTGACGAGATCCATAAAGCGATAAATGCTCGGAGTTTCTTTTTTGATAAATATACGGTGAGTTAAATTAATAAGTTAAAGTAAAATTTAACACAATTTTCAAAATCAGTGTTTCATATCTCAAGCGAAAACATTTGTTTTTCGGTTGTTTCATTTTTGTTTTGGTAAATATTCGTGTTTCAGCATTGTGTGTGCCCTCGGCTTTGGGTTAAAAATGAAGCATTTCAACTCGTTTAAATTCACATCTATTTGGTAATTTTTTAAGATTTAGCTGGCTTTGTATGTTGCTTTAATTGGATATAAATTGCTCCCACTAAATGGTCTACATTTATCTTAAGAAATAGTATGATATGGACATTTGCCATCGTTTCTTCTGTATCAGGTGGTCATTCTTAAAAGACAATTCCAAATCAAAATTAATTCCTGGGTTTCAGTCATTTATTGTCTTTATTTATCAATTAAAATACGTTTCGGTGTATTTTTCCACCATCATC